AAAAAAAAAAGGCAAAACACAGACACGTTGAGCCGTAAATTTTCCCGGTTTTCCCGACCAGGACTTCTTGATTGAAGCCAAGATCCTGAAGCTTCTGGCTCCTCTGGTGACCCAGGAACAGACCGGAGTAAAGCTGGGATCCATCCTTTACGTAAGCGCACATTCGGCTGCTTCAAATCACTTTCAGCACAAATATTCCAGCCTGGCACAAAACGTGAACAAGAAGACATGCCGTCTTCTATTCTAGACTTTGGGTATTGACGAAAGGGATTTGCCTAAGTTGATGGATTTCCTGGTGAGTTACACGGATCAGCAGAATGAGCAGACCGGGGTGAGTTGCAGACGAAGAGCTCTGTGTGGGTTTTCTGCAGCATCGACTTTGCTGAAAACTATCTGTTGATTCTCCCAGGATTCACATAGTGCCAGCGTGACAAGCACTTCGTTGGATCTCATCCACCCCAACCACGTCCTTCGTGCTCTGAAAAGCTTTCTTGAGCAACAAAGTTTCAGGTAAGAACGCTGTAGCAACGTGGAGCTGTGCTAAACTGTTTTGACATATTAGAAATCGATCAGTCCCTGTCTGTCGAAGTTCCAACTGAAGGAGTTGTATATTAGATTAGTATAATCTTTCAATATTAGGGAGCTGTCTGTAGGAAAACGATCTGGATCGTTAACTGCAGCAAAAATGACTGACATTTTTAAAACGTTGAGTCACATTAAAAAAAAAAAGTTATTCCAATCAGACTTTTTCTAAGCAGTTCATCTCTTTACAATTCTGCACTATTACTTAAATACTTTCATATTTCAGGTTAGATCTTGGAGAATCTAAGATAAATTGTTTGGTTGAAGAGAGTCCTCTGACTGGAGTGTGAAGGAGCACATGGAAAACTTTAAAGGCAAATAAAGAACACTGAAAGCCAATATGGAGAGAAGCCAGGACTAATATTATGTGTTCCTGCATTTTAGGACCCCCGCTGCCCCCCCAGGGTGCAGCGGGGTTGCTGCACTCTGGGAGTCGAGACGTTACCAGCACTCATCAGTCAGTCAGAGATGGATTGTCGCATTGGACAGCCAGTTAGGAAAAGAATGGAATCTATTATTGTTATGTTGCACTGTTTAATCTCAACGAGAAAAAAGAAAAGAGAAGAAAACTATTTTTGCAGCTAAAGCAGTATTTTAAGATTCGAGCATGTAATCAACCTACTGAACAAAGAGACTAGTTTACATGAATCACTATTTCTAGTTTGGACTTTATCACAAATGACTATTTTGGAAGCATCCTGAATTTCCAAACATTGCAAATGAGATAATATTTAAAGGACATCTGCTGTGTATTGACAGGGATCAAAACGAGCAACGTTTGAACATAGAACGGCCATAAAAGCATCCACATCTTAAAGACTCAGGGATGCAATCTGTGTAGTGTAAGATGCCACTTTGACCAGATTGCATCCAGCTGGACCATTTTTAAAAAAAAAGATTTGAACTTAAACATGTATAAAAGTTCACGCCTGATGAGCTTGTATGCACTACAGCCATAAACTGCTTTGGAAACCCTCATCTTTTTATGACTGTTAGATGAAATCTCTGTTTTGCCTCATCAACAACATCCAGTGCCGTCATCTTCATGGTTTCTTTTAGGACGAGCTCAGCCCAGGAACTTTCCAGACTGTGGCTCGCACACGCGCGGGATTCTTCCGGGGATGAAGCGTATTGGAATAGCCTAGGCAACATCATCCCAGAGGACAGAGTTAAACTGTGGGATTCCACATTGAGAATGCTAAAGCAGTACCAGTAAGTGGCTTGTGCAGGTAGAAAACATGTCTTCATAACGAAGAATTTTGCGGGGATGTGTTTTTGTGTTTTCTAGCGGTGTGTTGACAGACGTCTCTCAGCTAACCCAGGAGCAGGAGCGTCTGAAGGACGAGAACACAGAGCTGCGCTTGGAAATCGACAGTATGTCTGCTGCTGTTTATTATACTTCACCTCCAGGAGGACGTGCTTGTTTAGTCTGTTTTTAGCACTGCTGTAAAGGTTGAAACATGGCCCCCACCCAGCTATACTGACATGTGGATGTGAATTCACATTTAAATCAAACTGTAAGGAGTTTAATATTCAGCTTTGGCGGTGATGGGAGAATAAGAGTTTACTTGATTTCTTTGTAACACAAGTGAGGAATAAACTTTCTGACCATAAACAAAGAAGTTATTGCATTCTACAAATGATCAGAGACACAATTAGAATGAAACATTTGGTTCGCCTACAAAATTTCAATATTTTCAATTCAAGGATGATTAATTTCAGGACAATGGGGTTATATTAAATTGAAAATGACAGCTCTGCATCTTCTTTTGTTAATAGTGTGACCGTTTCTTGGTGTTTATGAGTAGTTTTATTAAAAAAAAAAGTTTATCAATCTTTCACTCTGAATTAAAAACAATCCATGTGACTTAATGTTCTTCATTTGATTTATAATGTACAAAAAAAACCTAAGATTGAACAATATGTCATCACTGCAGTTTCAGTGTGACCAATGCTGATTCGGTAAAAAACCATTTGGTATACAATAATTGTTGGCTAATTTGTTTCAATAAACTCTTTGTTTTAGTAGAAACCCAAACAGATTACATAAAAAAAAAAAAGCTCAAAAAGCAGAAGTAACAATCCTAACATCACTGTCGTTCCTGGCAGTCTGCTAACCTCCCATAACGACCCTTTTAAAAAGGGTGTAACTAAGGCCCTATTGCAGTATTTGAGATTGGATTGAGACATCCCTTGTCGAAAGTGCTTTAAGATATTTAAAGCATGCCGTTTTAATGCCCTCCACTGACCCTGTGCATGTTCTCTCACAGATTACCTGAGGAAATGACATAATCGACATGAGTGGTGCATTGCTGTGAAGCTTATATTAAAACAAAGGACTTATTAACTGATGCTTTGTGTTGTTTTTCTGACATCTCAACTACATGAAGAAGGTAAAAAAGGTCTCGTCTTCAGCCTTCCACACAATATGCTATGTTTAAAGAATAACAAGGAAGATGCAAGTGGTGGTTCGACCTTGCTGTGTTAAATCGCTTGTGGCTGAGCTCTGAGATGTCAAGACACTAATAGAAATCAATTCTGTTTTCTTATTTCAAGATGCAGAAACAAAAAAAATCAAACCCCAAAGGTGTGAATGCGTTCAAGCGGACAATCCATTCATAATACATTGTGTTAATGCTACTAAACGGGGACAGTCACGGATGGCAAGTATCGGCTTTCAGGTCATGTGATCAGTTTCTCAAACAAACCTGCATGTGTGTGAAAGAACGGCCTGCAGCGCGGATGAATCACGTGGTTCTGAATACATAGCAGCTCATTCAACCTTGAGTGTCACACAAAGACGTAAGACGCAGTTGTCTGTTTCACTGCTGTCGGTAAAGAGTAGCAAGTGCTAGTTTCCATGGTAATGTGTTTCCATGATGCCTCAGTGCTTGTGTCCTGCATTCTGGTCTCCTTTCATATTAACCTCTGATTACTTTCTTACTGGGAAAATATCAACTTCACACGTAGCAGATGGTGTTGCAAAAAAGATACTGCCTTTACATTTTCTTTGGATAAGCTGAAGATTTTTAAACTTTGAATTTTCATGCTATACCTTGAGGTCAAATATGTTCTATGACTTTAGCATGTGGGAGCATGGAGGAGCTGCAGAGATTCCTAGCTCAGGTTGGAGGATCTGCTTATGGAAAAATACAATCATTGCACTCCACAAATCTCTTGAAGAGTGGTAAGAAAAAAGTTACAAAGATTATAAATAACTCTTCAAGGTTCCTTACTTGCTCCTTGTTATCTAAATATGTTCACTGAAGTCTTGATCTTATTTCCTGTGAATGACTTGAAACAAACCGGGAACACATAGCAACTCTTATGAAAATTATGCGATCAATCGATGTGATGTAAATTTTCATTCTCATCTATTAATAATGCACCAGTGTTTTTTTTTTAATGCTGCTTCAAAACATTTATTTATTTTTTGTCCTTTTTGCATTTTACACAAACATGACAGGAATCTGTGATTTTCATATGCTTATGCAGAGTACAATGACATTTAGGCGTAAGAAAAATCTAGTCGCTGATATTTGTGCATCGGGGCACAGAAGGAGAGAAAGAGTCGTGATAATGTTCAGCTTAAAAAAAGCACCACAGTATAAATATATCGTCACTAACGCTAACACCAAAAGCATTAGCTACGAAACAAAACTACCGGACAAATCTGTGCAAAGTTGTATAAAATTCTTACACCAAAATGCTTTCTACAATCTATATTTGGATTCTTTAGTTGAATGAACGAATGACGATTAGATATGGTTCTTTATCCATCAGGCAAATAAATAAACAAGTAAATCAGCTTTGGAGATAAGATGTGTAACATGTTTAAGGCCATTGGTTTCTATTGTAACATGCAAAAGCAAAGAGAAATCAATAACAATAGAGCTGACATATTTTTTTGGTGCTTCTACATATGTGATGTGACGTCAAATCGATGTCCACAAGTGCAAAAGTAAAGGGAATGTTGTCTCCGTGTCACGGGATTGTTCTCACATCTACGGCTTTTACTTATCTGGGTCAGGATGCAGACCGGCAACAGGGACTACTGCAAATCTGACGGATTACGGAGACAGAACGGGGGCATAATGCCCGCCTACCAATATTTATGCGCAAGGGATCCCTGTGAATAACTTTGTGCTTGTCCGTGCACTCATAGAACATGGAGACATGATCTCAGTTTTATGGGCTTTGACAAACAATGCTGGGCCAATTAGATAACAAGAAGAAGAAAAGGCTGCAGTGTGGAGAGGGATGGCTGGGAGAAAGGCTGATCACATGCTGGGGATCAGGGACACAAGAGAGGGTCATGGGATGAGATTTAAAAAATTAAGGAAGAAATGGAAGAGTCCAGGCAATTTAAAAGTAAATATCTTATAGAGACTAATGAAGCCACAAGTGTAAGTAAAGCATATGATGCAGGAGTATTGATGAATGATGATACAAACAGGTAATATTGAAACAGTTAAAAATCGGAATGGTGTTTATAGAAAAATAAGTATACATTAGATTTTATAGACTAGGAGATAAATAATGAGAAACTCCTTTATGCCTACGGGAGTGTTAAGAGGGCATACATTATTTAAATGAGAAATATTTAAACATATTTATGCAGCATGTATGGAAATTGGGAGGGGGGGAACAAAAGTCAAATTATGCAGTTCTTTGCCAAAATAACAAAAGAAAAAAAACATTTTAAAAAAATTGTAAATTATGAATTATTCCTTTCATCTACGGTATGCAGTAGAAAGAACATATCAAGTAAAAGAGCTAACATTTAGATTTCATAAGTGTTGCTCGTAGTTATACACAAACTGGTTTGTAAGTTAGGCTGGAAAGCAAGAAAATCAGATGTGAAACTGTACTCTTAGGGCTACAGCTTATAAGCACAACTCATACATTTCTTCTGAATGTTTTTATTCCTTTGAAATATGCCTAAATTCCCAGCTCCACTCTTAAAAGCTGAAACGTGAAAATTAAAACTCCTTAGTAACAACGCAAACACAGGATGAACACGGATCTCGACAAAGCCGGCAAGGCTGCAAGAAAAAAAAAAAAAAAAGCATGTTATGTTTCCAGGGCAGTGATAAATATCTATAGTGCATGTTTGATTCTTATAACATATATAAATGTGCTCAACAAAAAGACAGTGCCTCCCATCCTATCTTGTAGATACGTTAGCAGAGTAATGAGTACAGACTGTTGAGCGATACAGGGAGAGAGACACAGAAAGTACACTAATAATACAGTATGTGTGGGAGACAACAGACAAAAACCAGGCAGTAGTGATGATGACTCAGAATGGTCACACATTATCTCTTCCCAGCAGCCTCGGCGGCTGTCGGGGCAGCAGAAGAGCTGATTTGGTGCGCTGAGGTGACCACTTGGCCGTCGGGCTGAACGGACTGCACTGTTTCCACCAGGCTGCCGCTGGGTAGCACCACATAGCGGGCGGCCATGTCTTTGGGCTGCAGCTCCCTCAGTCCCTCTTTGCTGTGCCAGATCCCGTAGCCAAAATACACAAGGAGACCTGGGAACAGGGCAGTGGGAGACACGTCACTGGAAGTCATGAGAACACTGAGCACAGGTTTGAAGACAGACAACTTTGGACGTGATTGTTGTGTTGCCATCTGGAATTTCTTAGGTGTTAAATGAATAAGTAAATATGCTGTTACTGATGCCGTTGCAACGTTGATAAGAACCTAATCTTCTTAAAATGTCAAATAAAAAGCAAAAAACACAAGCTAACTTGCTCAACAATGCCAATTTAACAAATGTCTAACATGCTAACATTTGCAAATTCTCCATTAACTTTTCTTAATAGTTTTATCTGTACATTAGGAATAAACAGGACCATCTGTAACTTGTGTAAGTTCTGGTTTATGGTACTTGGACAGGCTTTAGTGGTACACAGAAAGGCACCACATTTTGGTTCTAATTACTTGCAAATGTAAATTATTTCACAGTAATGTGAAATAGTCAAAAAGAAGAGGTTTTCAACCATATGATTTGACCATGTTGACAAAGCTTTAAGCAAATGTAGTTAATCATCTTTCTGCAGTGACTCTCGACCCACTATTGGGCCATTAACTCCGTCTGATCATCGTCTATGTTCACACAAGACTGCCCTCAAAAGGAAAATATTCTCTGTTTCCTTTAAGTATAAAAAAATCTTTGTGCAATCTGTTCGTGTAACCATTAAGCGCATCAAGTTCACTGATCACAGACAGTGGAGGTTTTATGACACTGCTTTCTGGAGATAAGAGCCACATCACAATATGCTAACACGCGAGTGAGGTTCAGTATTTGTGAAGTGAGACAGTTGAGAGCACATTGCAGACAGTAAATTGATTTAGTAACCAATGATTGCACGTCATTGTTTTTGTTCTTTCAGTTTCAGATTTTACGTTCTAATGTTCCTGTACTTTACAAGTATTGCAATATGATGCCAGATAATGACCAGAGTTTCCTGTATGGAGCAGAGTAACATAATGTTGCTTCTCACCCAACTATTGTGGCACACTCCTGGTCCCTGACAGGGATGCTATACTTTTCTCCCGCTAAAAATAAATACAAATATGCCTGCTGCTTGGAAATATATAAATTTCTGAAAAACATTGTGTGAAAAGTAATGGAGTGATAACCATCATTCCTAGTGAGGTAACAATCCTGCTGCAGGCTAGCACATAGTCTACTACGCAGCTGAAACACCACAGACTCGGGGAGAGATTATTAGCCAATATCAGCTTGCTTATAATTATGTCTGTTGATAAAAACAAGAATGAAAAAAAGGTTGAAAATTCTGTATAAATCAGCATATAAAGCAAAAAGACAAATTTAGCAGGTAAGTCTTGTTTTGATTGATTTAGTTTTATATTTAAATCAATAGTGAACACATTTTATAGATAATAAAAAAATAGCAATCATTGTTACATTTTTTATTCTGCATTAGTAATAGTTATTTGAAACAGCAACAGTAAGCTTATTTATCACACATTTTTATATAATTATCTAAAAACAACGTTATCATGATACCAAACGTTCTCAAACATTTAAAGAGTACATTTTAAATATGATGTTTGAACATTCTTTGCAGCATTTGACGCTGATGTTATTTTACCTATAGCAATCCACACTGTAAATCGAATCCAGGTCAGGAGGCTTAGCTTCATCATCAGGAATACGTTGAAGAGAATACTGGCACCAGGAGTCAGTGGAACCAAAGGTACCTATGCAACAAGAAAACTGATCTCATTCTCTGGTCATAGGGAATACAGTTTCACTATATGTTGCCTTATATAAATAAATTGCATGCTGAATTTAATATACAGCATGTATGAAAGCTCACCTGGAATGTTTGGTTGTTTCTTTGCGGCTCATGAATCCATATAAGTGCCAGGCTAAGAACGTAAGCTAAGGTAAAAATTACCAGAAGCATTGTGAAACACCAGACTGGGAACTGTAGCTGTTCATTTCCAAACTCCAGCACAGCACAGAGGGAAACTGAGCTCACAATCAGGGTCATCACACAGAAAGCCACCACTTCGCCTGGTTCACAGTCTCCCAGCAGCCTGTCCAAGTAGGGTTCCCAGTAGGCCTTCAGGTGCCCCACCCCACGCCGCTCTCTCGTCCTCTGCCTCTCCACCAGCTGGAGTTTGTCGGAGAAGGACTCGTACTGCTTGGGCTCCTCGCTGTCTTCGGTTATGGTCTGTGACTCTGAGGGGGCAGGGGACACCTCTGCGTTGACGTTGGGAGATGTGGTGGTGGTGTCTTTGGAGTTGTTCTTCTCTGGTTGGAAGCGGAGCACGATAACACTCGCTGCCACGAAGGTGTACGCAAGGAGAGTCCCAATAGACAAGAACTGAACCAACGCCTCCAGGTCAAAGATCAAAGCCATGCAAGCCATAAGGATTCCAAACACCAGAATGGCATTGACGGGAACTTTGGTGACGGGATTGACCCTGGCGAAAATGGAGAAGAACAATCCGTCCTCTGCCATGGCGTACACAATCCGAGGAAGGGAGAAGAGATTGCAGAGAAGCACAGTGTTCATGGCTAATAAAAAAGAAAAAAAAATAGTATTTGTCAAAATACAGCACTGAAAAGTATATTGCATATTCATATTGTACTTTCTTTGCAAATGCTGATACTCACCACAGATGGATCCCACAGCCACAACAATTCCTGCCCAACTGTAGCCACGGCGAAAGAACGCGTCTGCCAGGGCTGAGTTAGGGTCCAGGGTACGCCAGGGTACAATCAATGTGAGCACGCAGGAGACCAGGATGTAGGCTGTCGCCGCAAGTCCAAGAGAGATAGCAGTGGCAATGGGAACAGCCTTCTGAGGATTCTTTGCCTCTTCGCTGGAGGAAGCAATCACATCAAAGCCCACGAAAGCATAGAAGCATGTGGCTGAACCTGCCAGGATCCCTGACATCCCGTAAGGCGCAAAGCCACCTTGCTCCTGGCTCCAGTTGGCAGGGTCGGCAAGCACAAAGCCGAAGACCAAGATGAAAGCAATGACACCCATGCTGATGGTGGAGAAGATGTGGTTCAGATAAGACGACACTTGAACTCCGAAGGAAATGAAGACAGAGGCAAATACAAGGATTCCTGCAGCCAGGAGGTCAGGGTAGTGGGCAAGGAAGGGCACATTCCACTGCATGATATGCGTTTCAGTGAAGTTCTGGATAGCGTGGTTAAAAATTGAGTCTAGATAGCCACTCCAGGCCCGTGCTACTGCAGCACCGCCAATCATATTTTCCAGAATGACATTCCAGCCAATGAGAAAGGCCCACATTTCTCCCACTGACACATAGGTAAACATATATGCAGATCCTGTTTTAGGGATGCGCGCTCCAAACTCTGCATAACAGAAGGCAGCCAGAAGAGAAGCGATACCTGCAAAAACAAAGGATATGATGACAGCTGGTCCTGCCGTGTCTTTAGCCACCGTTCCCGTCAGGACATAAAGGCCAGAGCCAACCATGCCACCGACACCCATCAGAGTCAGGTCCAGCGTGGAGAGGCAGCGCTTCAGGGAAGTCGCCATCATGTCACCGTCGAGTGTCTTGAGCCGGTTCAGCCTTTGACAAAGGCGCACAGCTGGTGCACAGCCCGTCGAACAAGTTGCCATGGCTACAGTGTTAGACAGGTCAGTGGAGTGGGGTGGGTGTTGTAGCTTTCAGACTGGATCCATTAACTACTTATGAAGATGACCTGCAAGACGAAAGAAATTCACACATTAGAACCAAAAAGAGTGGACGGTCTATGTTTTCAGGGCAAAACTGTATGCTCCACTTTAGGATCAAGATCAAGAAAATATAAAGAAAGCTTTTGAAATGTAAACTGTGCCGATTTTTTGTTTTTAGTCAAAATATCGTCTTCGCATCGCTAAATACGGTCCCCGTTTTCACAACTTTGGAAAGTATCATTGTTCCCAAGCAATAAATTTACCTAGATTGTTTTTAGAGAGACAACAAATGGCAACAGTTTAAAATGACCATTTATTCCATATGGATGATCCTCGAATTCACCATGAAAACGCTAATATGCAGCTTTCATTCTGATATTAGCTTTTAATTTGAATGCCATGCAAAAGCAACAAAGTTTGTCCTTGCAGGATCGCAGGTGGGCTGGTGGCCGTCCCCAGCACCCATTGAGCAAAAGGCGAGGTATACCACAGGCTGCACAGGGCGACATACACAAAGGACAAACAACCATGCACACAGACACACACCAGGACAATTTAGAGACACCATTTAACAGTCATATTAACAGTCATGACAGCTGCAACCTCAGGCACCTGTCCTGGACAGGTTGTAATGAAATGAAATTCCGCTGTGCTTCTGTATAATAACAATAAAGTCCGATTCTGGAGTTTTTGGATCGAGGGAGGAAGCTGGAGTGCCTGGAGAGAACCCACACATGCACAAGGAATGTAAACTCCAAGTTACATGATGTAACATTTGGAGACAAATCTGGGATTTAAGAGGCATTTTCTTATTGGGTGAATTTACTAGTGCAGTAATGGTGTTTGCAGTCAGTGCATGTGATCATAAAAAACATGAATTCCTGTTGGGGGTGTAGCTGTTGTTTGAAAACATTAGCTCATCTTAAAAGGTCTTTAAAGACAAAGCATTGTTAAGCAAGTTTTTCACCCAGGGACTGTCAGCTGCTCATAGGGGCATGATCAGCCTCAAAGGTCAGATCCAAAAAAAAAAAAAGGTAAAAAGTAAAGGTAATTTTATTTATATAGTACATTTTCAGCAACAAGGCAATACAAAGTGCTTTACAGGAATTAAAAGAAAATACAAACAAAAATAACAGACCAAAGGAAAGAGCAAAAGAAGAAAAATAATCTAACATTGATCTAAAGGTGCTCCTGTTCAGGGTTGCTAAATATCCTCTGGTCTAATTCCATTTCTGGGTTGGGAGAACAGGAGTCTAAAAATGTTGATCCAAAAGTGTCCTCTGGGCTTCTGGTCTCTGCGTCTAAATAGTGAGTACTCCACAGTTTCTAAATACTAGATACTCCTCTTCAGGGTTGCTAGATAAGTATAAGTAAGCATCCTCTGGTCTAATTTCTTTTCTGGGTTGGAAGAATAGGAGTCTAAAGTAGTTTGTAAGGTAGTTTTTCTGGATTCTTAAATATGTTCTAATCTCTGTTCTGGATCAAAGCCCCTATAGACAAAGATAACATACATTGTGAGGAGTAAATTTTCTGTTCACTTAGTGAATAAATATCAGCAGCAAAATGCTAAAAAAAAAATATGTCTGTGTAAATTAAATGTAAAGTCAACAACACTCATGGGTAGCCAGGTGCATTATGAACTTAACAGCTATACGCCTTCAATACATAACATTTTTATTCTGTCGAAACAATGGCCCCAAGTGTACTTGTTTATATCAGAAGCGCCGCTGTTATTATCATGGATTTTATACGTGTATTGTTTTATTTCCGCCTTTCCTGTATATGTTGAAAACAGAGGGACACACAGCGGATACAGACTCTTGCACTTCTCTCGCCGGTCCACGTCACCTAAAAGGCATCGCTCAGGTGTGAAACGATGACGATATAAATTAGATTTTCCCTCTTTGCTTAGTATGTTTATTCCTTGCATTAGTACCAATAAGGATTATTCGTCCGCTTGCGTCAAACCTCCAGCATCAACATCGGAACATCATCGGATTTCTGGCCTCGATAAACATATGGCGACAGCAGGATGCCTCCCTGATAATTACGTAACGCTTTATTCCCGACGAGAAACAGGAGCGCTGTCATAAAGTGGCAGTGCGTCGTGAAATTACGTCTATCAACGTCCTTCCTTGGCTAAAAGATGCGCCACACTACAGCGAATGAAACAAGCTTTGTTTTAAATGCCACATTAAAAATTTATAACAAAATGGAAAAGAGCGCAAAGTGAACCTCACTAGCTCTTTTCTGTTCCGCGCTGCTTTCCATACATGAGTCAGGTGTGACTGTTTGTTTGATTCCCACCCGCTCCTCCCCCCCCCCATTTTCATAAGAAGACAAACAAGGAGAAGCATCAGCAGAAACACAGACATGCATACCCTTGTTGCTTTGAGCCTGCCATCGTTGCTGCGACTCCTGAACGCAGCTCTGTCTCTCCGAAGTTACTCGGGCGCATCGTCTGGTGATGGAGCAGAAGGTGCACCGCTGTGGAATAAAACCACAACGAGCGCTGCCTGCGCTGCTTCTTAAAGGGACAGGCACCTTTTTTTTTTTTTTTTTTTTTTTTTTTTTTTTTTTTTTAAAAAAAAGGGGGGGGGTTCCCCACCGTGCC